CTCAGTGGCCAGTGCTCTTCTCCACTAGGTCTCATTTCTCCTCTCAGTATTTCTCCACTCAGGGTCAGTCTCCCTCCTCCTAGTTGATATTATCTGTATTTTGCCATCATTAGGACCATGCCATTTCCTCTTTCTTGTGCAGTCTTTACCTGGATCTATATTCAGGTACAGGATTCAATGTCAACTCTGCTAGTCTAAGATATTTATTTTCCCACTAACTTTTAATTGAAATTTGTGCTTTTCACTATTTCCTAGTTACACTGTAGGTCTGAGCTATCCAAAACCCAAAACTCAGTGCCACTGAGTTGACTCCAACTCATAGCAACCCTATAGAACAGAGTAGAACAGCCCCATAGGGTTTCCAAGGCTATAATCTTTATGGGAGCAGATTGCCACATCTTTCTCTCACAGAGCAGCTGGTGGATACGAACTGCCAACCTTTCAATTAGCAGCCGAGTGCTTAACCACTGCACTACCAAGGTTCCTCAGCCCGAGCCATAGGTGGTTTTGTTTATTCTTTTTCTGAATCATTCTCAAAGGACATGGGAAGGGATTCCAATTTAGGTGGCCTCTATTATCCTCTGATGTTTTTATTTTAGAATGCTTTCTTCCCTATAAAGTCCATGAAAGATGAAGACTAATTTTCTACCTTCCAGATTTAAATAATTGTAGAACTTTTTTTCATATCGAACACTGGTCACGTTTCGGGCATGGGGGCGTGGTGTGGTTAGGAATAATAGAAAGGGAAGAAAGACTTCCCAAAAGGGCCTTAAAAGTCATGAAGTTATATATTAGAAATGAAGACAAATAGTCTACAACATACCTGCCATCAGTCAGCTGACACACTATTACAGGCCCACTCTGCTGAGAGAGAGACGGGCTCCCCTGAGAAGTGAGTACTTCCTTGAATACACTGAACTGAGAGGCACGTGGCTACCCAGTACTGCCAAAATGGTGCCAACATTCATTTTAGGAACTCGGCACTAAGTTAGAATCAGCGATGTTCATCTTCTCTAGTTCTCAAATCATTATCAGAATTCCCATATTCCCTCAGAAACACTATTTCCATCCATTTTTCCTTGTTCATCAAAATAACACTGTCTGCACGGTTAAGTACATTATAAAAACAAACAAGTTGCCATTGAGTTGATTCCGACTCATGGCAACTCCTTGTGTGTCAGAGTAGGTTTTCAATGGCTGATTTTTTGGAAGTACATTATAGGACAGCCAAATGATGGGTCATTACGCAGATGTTAAAAATTGTTGAGTTTTCTATAAAACCAGAATAGATTAAGGGGGGGAGAATAAAAATTATATATACAAGCTTTCACTGAAATGTATTCTCTAGAATGCAAGAAAACAGTTCCACAACTAAATATGTTTGGCACACTCTATCTTCCACAGATTCACAATGCATATCAACTTTTTTAAAGGCTCTAAGAAGTTCTGCAGTGAAGAAACCTATTTAACTTTGTTTAATCTAGCATTTCCTTGATGTATGTGTGACCTCTTTTCTCATGAGGAGCACTAAATAACACTTACAAAACCCTTTGGGGCGTGCACAGAGGACCTCAACTTGGTAACTGAGAAATACATGTGGTGAGAAGACGAAAAGGAATTAGGCCAAATACTTAATCATAACTGGTTTTGGGTGATGGGATTGTGGGAGATTTCTTACGCTGTTTATGAGTCTTTTCTTTCCAAATTTTCTAAATGAGCATGCAGAAAGTTAAAACACAATGATTAAAAGCCTCCAATCATTGCCCAAATTATTTTAATTAACAAGGAATACCAGAGGAACTCAATCTCTTCCCAATCACTTTGGCCCACGCTGCTTTCTAGGTCTCTGGTCTTATTTTGAATCACTACGTTGCATCATGCATTTTAACACTAAATTTCATTCACTGGTCCTGTAGTATTCATTTATTCATTCAACAAATATTTATTAGCTATCTACTTTTTGCCACATGTTGAGATTACAAAGTGTGTAAAAACAGACACTATCCTGCCCTTGTGACACTTACTGTCTGCTGGGTTGGATAAACATTAACAAAATAATCACACCATTGAATATATAACTACAGAGAAGGCACTGCAGAGGAAGCAATACCCGAGCTAAAGTTTGGTGGATGAAACAGGAGCTAACTAAACAAAAATGCAAGGAAAACATCCCAAATTTGGGGCGGGAGAGGGATAACACTTGCACAGTCCCTATGGCAGGAGGAAACCTGGCTCGTCTGAGGTTCTGAAAGCCTAGTGTGGCTGGAATACAAGGGAAAAGTGAGGGTTGAGGCAGGGGACAAACCATACAGGCCTCATGAAGGCCATATTAAAGGTTTGATTTTTTTTTTTTTTTTAATCATAAGAGCAATGGGAAGCCACTGACATGGCTTTAAGCAGATTGTACCTTGAAAAGATTACTCCGATACCATGGGGAGACTGTATCTGAGGGACTCTGTGGCGGCTGCGAGACAAGTTAGGGAAGCATTAGTCCAGGTGAGAGTCAGATAATGGCCTGAAGTAGGGTGGGAGATGTGAAGATAAATGGATTCAAGAATACGTAGGAGGTAAAAATCAAGAGGGCTTGGTGACAAAATGGATTTGGAGAGTCAAAAAGAGAACAGATGTCAAGAATAATTCCTAAGTTCTGGCGTATACAACGGAATGGTGACACCATCTACCAAAATAGGAAACACAGTAGAGGAGCCGGTTTTGGTGGTCATGGGGATAATAAGTTTGAGGTGCTTTTGAAAGATCCAACAGGCCATGGATGCTCAGAAAAGAGGCCTGGGCAGGGGATTCACATTTGGAAGATACAAGTGAATAGAAGTATGATGGTTAAGGTTGTGTGTCATCTTGGCTAGGCCATGATTCTCAGTGGTTTGGAAGTTATGTAATGATGTAGTTTGGCAATTATGTAATGATGTAGCTATCCTCCATTTTGTGATATAATGTAATCACCTCCATAATGTGATCTGATGTGATCAGCCAATCAGTTGTAAGGGGAGTTTCCTTGGGGGTGTGGCCTGCATCCAATATATACGGACATTCTGGCAAAGCTCCCTGGCTTTTGCTCACTCTGGAACCTGCATCTGCTTTATCATCATCTGACCTCCAGTTCTCGGGACTTGAGCCAGTGGCCTGCCATACTGCCTGCCAATCTTGGGATTTTCTGGCCTCCACAGCCTGTGAGCCAGCAGCCTGCCATGTGACCTGCTGATCTTGGGTTCGTCAGCACATGCAGCTACGTGAGTCAGAAGAAGCCTCCAGCCTGACGCTTCACCCACGGACTTGGAACTTGCCAGTCTCTACAACCACACGTGCCATTTCCTTGAGACAAATCTCTCTCTCTCTCTCTATATATATATAATATATATACGCTTCACTGTTTTGCCTGTCTAGAGAAACCAGCCTAAGACAAGAAGGCAGACTGAAACTGTGGCTTTGTATGAAACTGCCTAGGGAGAGAAGTAGAAAGGGAAAAGAGCTTGGATTTGATCCTTAAAAACATTCCAACACTTAATGGCTCCATAGAGGAGTATTAACCTATAAAGGAGACTGTAAAGGAGTTTCCAGAGAGGAAGAAGAGAGTTTGGAATCAAAGATGCTAAGAAAATAGTGCTTCAGGAAGGAATGCATGAATAAGATCAAAAGCTGCTGAAGAGGTCAAGTAAAATGAGGACTAAAAATGTCCAGTGAATTTAGTGGCATGGAAGTCATATGCAGCAAGTGGGGAAATGGAGTCAGTGAGCATGAAACACTCCTTAGAGGTTTGGCTGTGTCATGTATCTCCCCAGATAGATTTCTAAATGTCAAGGCTAGCAGAGGGCTGAGCAAACAAGTTTCCATAAATATTTATGATAATGATTTACACATTCTAAGATCAGCCAGTGGTTTTGCTGTGACTGCTTTCCAACCATCAGTTCATTTTCAGATGCATTCTGACAAGCGCAGTCACTGGACACAGAAAGGTGGATCAGACACAGCCCTTGTCCCCAAAGAACTCACAATCTGGTAGGAGAGACTAAGACAAACCGAAAGAACCATCACATTGAAGCACTGGCTTAGAAGCTCACCCGCATCAAGCAGCTCATGGATTGCAGTCCTATGTGCTGTAAAATCACTGAAGTAGAGCAAGGTGTTTCAGAGAATTTTAGAAAACAGCCTCACTTTCTTGAAGAGTCCCTGGATGGCGTGGAAGAGGGATGGCCACCCAGCTACAGAAACAGAGATTGTGCAAAGCACAATAAATACCTGTGTACTGAGCTGGCTGCTTTCTTGGTTTCAGTTTGGATGCACCAGCAGTGGCTTCTGAACAAGGAGGGGAAGAAGGGACCAATTTGAGAACATCTTTCAATCAGATTTCACTTGAAGCGTGGTCCACAGAAAATTTTAGGCACTAAAATTAACTAAATTTTCTGAAAATTTGATTTCCCAGTTTTACTTCATTTTATGACAGGCACTGAAACTTTAGGCAGTGTTCCTGGGACTGAATATGGCCGGGAAAGGAGAAATAATACAAGCCAATCATACTCTCACAGGAATCTTCCTTCCAGTAGAATCAGAATTCACCTACCTGGCTTTTGCATATTAACCAAGATGGAAATACTGGAAGATCTTACCTCATATAATAATCCCTCTTTAAACATCTGAAAGTGAATAGAAGTGTGATGGTTAAGGTTGAGCCATTATTTATTTTTTTTCCATAAGTTATCCCCAGCCTACCTCAACACTTCATAGGATCCACCTCTTCTAACTCAATGTAAGTACCAAATATGTTGAAATTGTAAACACCTTTGAAATCTTCTCAGTTCCTAAGTTATAATATGTACCTTTATCTTGTCTTATATCAGCGTCCTCAAATTAAAGTCAGTCCAATTTCTTCAATGAAAGTTCGTGCCCACAGTCTGGCAAGGAGTGGACAAACTTGTCACCTGGAGATCTCTCTGTGTCTGGCCAATAGGGAACTTCTGGGCTTTTCAGAAAAAATAAGAATCAGAGAGTTTTAAAGGATTTATTTGATTTCTCCACATGATCACAGCTATGCTTTTACATCAATAGAATCTGTTACTACTCACAAACAGAATGCATATTAAAACAAAAGCACTCCTTTCCTCCCCAAAGTTACATAGTGGGTGCCGGGCTTCTTGTGAGCAAGGTGTCTTTTGAAGTCTTTGAACAGTCTGCATTCAAGACCTGATTCTAATAGTTTAAAACAACTTGAAGGTGAATGACTGTTCCTGAGAGGAGACAGATATAGTAAGCTGCCTCAATGTGACTGCAGACAGAGCAGTTACACTAGTTTGCATGCTATGTACAAGCTGAGAAAGGTGTCCATTCCTCCTGCTTGTCTCGTGTTCACCACCCCTAAGTCACTCTAATTTTGCACTCTGTTTCCTTGATTATTGTTGTTATTATTTAAAATACTTATAAAATTACTCATTTTTCAGGTAGGAAGGGTGATGATATTTTACAACGAAAACTGTATGATGCATGCTTACCTGTAGAGACACAGCTTACAGGGAATGCTGAATGGACACCTAGAGTCATTGTTAAATATCTGCTGACTGTCTTTTCAGCTCATTTTAAAGAAAAACAAGAGGCTTCTGCTGCATGCAGTGTGTGATGGGAAAAATCACTCTACACTGGATGGCTGAAGACATTTTTAAGCAACATGTACACATCATATTAGGATGAACTTTATTTTTACATTGTTGTACAATTCATTCATAAGCTTAAAAAAATACAAATACATGATTTAATTGTTGTCCCAGAAAAGATCATGATGTTACCAGCTACTTCCTCTAAGGATCTCCTGCTCCTGTCAGAAACCATTATCTAACTGAAATAATTTGTGCAACTTGAGAAAAATGTTCCAAACATTTCCCGACAGTAAGAAAGGATGACTCAAACATCCCCATGGCCCTCAGCCTCCTTCATCTTCCTATCCAGGGGAGTGAGCGATAGGGGAAGTTACTGTTTGGGATCTGCAGGGTACAACACCATGAAAGCAATATGGGGGATGCCAGTTTGTTAGAAGCTTTTGCTTTCCAAAGAAGATTTGGGCAGCATGATTCCACCCTCCTTAATCAAACAATGTACCTTCCAGAAACACTTCTCACAATAAGCTTGGAAATAAAATTAAATAATGATGAAATCTCATTGACCTGGACCCAATCCACAGTATAAAGTTGGAAACATGGGAAGAAACTTAATTGGTTTAGCCCTTTTCACTAGATCAGCCCTCCTACACCCCCAACAAAGCTTCAGGACACATTGCCGATAGCTTTGGAGGGTGAGCATTCCTAATGGGCCCTGCAGCACGCCGGACAGCAATGGAGAGAGACCCCTCCACTGGGTTTACTGTTTGTCTTCCATTAGTGATGCCCCTTCGGAAAGATCAATTTTGTACCAAACAGTCCATATCTTTTCTGGAACAACTAAAGTTTACAGTTAGACTTTACCATTGGTACAGACGGTGAAGAAAAGCTGACATATTTAATATGTTATCACTTTACTTCAACTATTTGTCAACAGTAACACTGATATATTTGCAAATATACAATACATAGAGTGTAGCCTCACACAACTGATGCTGATGACATGCAGTACAATCCAACTCTTCTTGGTCAGAAACAACATCTTGTAAACTGCAAGACAGAGAGTGCCTCAAGGAGCCTGACTTTTGAGGAAAACCAAAGAATTTAGGAGTTGATGAAACCGTGTTGCCTCCCACCAGCCAGGCCTGGACCAAATGAGAAATACACATTCTTCTTATTTCTCTCTTTCAGAGCAGATGCCAAAGAAAGAAATACTACACCGATGGGAAGACAAAGGTAGGCAGGTTAAAGCCACTTTTTTTAAAAAAAAGGCTAAACTCTAGATTGCTGTATTTGCTCTCCATGAAGATTAACAAAGTGCTCAGTTCGCAGATTTGCTGGTATGGTGATCTCAATGATATGACAAAGGAGGTGGGAGGGCAGGGACATTGGCAAACCCCCCGACCACCCAGCCAGAGTGACCCAAAGCCAGAGGTGGACTTCCCCTCCCTTCCTGCAGTCCAGCTACCGCGCTCCGCGTTGTATAGTGAAAGCAGGGCCACGTGCCCGCGGCCCGCAGAGTCATGTTTTAGCTTCGCCCTTTCTGAAAGGGTTCTCCGCCTGGGCAGGGGCCACTGGGCAGTCCTCGGGTCCTGCGGCTTAGGAGCAAAGCACTGGTGGCTGCAGTGGTTCGAAAGGCTGAAACTACAAAGTATGGCCCATGTGTGACTCAGGCACAGAAGTCGGAGGTGTCACCACAACACAGAAGCAACAAGAGCACAGCTGAGTCATGTGATGCCCTGGCAGCTAACTGGACCATGAGAAGGCAGCGGGGCTTCGCCTGGCGAGGGCTGGGCACTCGTCGGCCGGGGTCAGATGGGCCACAGTGATGACACAGGTGTTCTGCTAGCACATGGCTACATGGAATTACAATGATCTCTGCTACCACTCAGAAACAAAACGGAAAACACACACACCGCCCTGGGCTGCTAAATGCCAAAAATCAGCCTTCAGGTTTGAGAGTGGTTCCCAGCGGAAACACTCTCCAGGGGCTTCTGCCTGTGGCGGTTGGAAACAAGATGAGTAAGTTATGGTGTTGGGGAGGCAGGGATGAGGGTTGGTCATTTTCATGTTGGAGATGAATACTTCTGCTGTGTATGGGTGCCCCTCACAGAGGACTCTGAATGAGTGTGTATTAAATCATATGCATACAAAAGAAATATGGATCATGGAAGTTCACAGTTATCGCAGCCATTAAAGTGTCTAAGAGTCTGTGTAACCAATATTCTAAGACAACCAGTTCTTAACTAGTTGTCCCAAGTGCTACTGTAGAGTTTACTGTATTTTATCTATTTGCTTACCTGAAATAACAGAGCAGTTATAATACTGATTACTTATGATAGTATTCTGTTAACAAAATAAGGATTTATACAAAGCAATATTGGAATTTTTAAACAGTTAGATGCTATGTTACTTGGCACAGTTAGTAATGATTGTGGAAAGGTTTGAGTCAGTCCTGGAGGGACTTCTCTTCTTTTTACGAAAATATGGAAGTATCTGAATTTGTTCCTAGCATTTAAGTTTTTGGTCTACTCTCTCACACACTCATCTAAGGTACTGTCTTTCTATCACGTAAGTGGAGTTCCTTGTAAAGTCTATATTGCTAATTTTATGGACTGAAACGTCTGCCTTTCACACACAAATACTACCTATACGGTATATATATATATATTTATTTATATATTTATATATTTATATTATATAAAGTTTACTTACGTACTTTCATCAACCATATCAGGTCTACTTAAGTTTTTGCCCATTGTTAATAAAAGAGCAATAATGCAGCAAGTTTTGGGTGTTTGTTTTGTTTTGTCTTTTTTTTTTTTTTTTTTTTTTGTATCTCACTTCTTCTTTTTCTAGGTTGGGTTTTCATATGCGTGTAAAATTAGGGAGCAGAGAGCTGAGGGCTGAAGTGGGGGTGGAAGGCAGTTCAACATCTACTTGGCAGGCGGCACCGTTTCAAGGCTGATGGTGGCTGAGGCCCATCCCCTGGGCTGAGGTGAACAGAGCCCAGGGGCGCAACACTAAATTGTCAGTTTTGTTCCCTAAAACACTAGCCCTGAGGCTCATGGGGCTCCATCTAGGCTTTGGGGAGCAGAGGGGAGAGATGGAAACAGAAGTGCCCTGGGTTTGGTCTGAGGCTGGCTGCCTCCTGGGTATGCCTCTGGGTGGTGTGCAGTTGTTCCAGGGAGTCTGGGACCCCCCCGCCCAGGCTGTCTACACAATTGTGCTGATGCCGCTGGGTTTGGCCTTGCTGCTGGTGGGGGGCGGTGGGGCGGGCGGCTGCCCGTGGTGGTGTGCAGCGTGCCCCACCTGGGCTGAGGGCAGCGGTGGATGGCCATGAGAGTGGGCCCCGTATGGTGGGTGCCCCCCATGGGGGCCATGGTGGTACTGGTGTGCATGCTGGATATGTTGAGGGGGGTGGTAGTGGTGGTGGTGGTGGTAGGGGGGTGGGTTCTGCTGCATGTGGCAGTACTGGGAGTGGTGCCCATGCACCTGGGCCTGCGTTTGGCCCTCTGCGGAACCCTGGTGATGGCCAGCCGAAGGGTGCTGCGGGTGGGGCAGGATCGGTGGGTGGAGGGGTGGCTGGGGAGGGGCTGAAGGCAGGTGGGCCTGGGAAGGGGGCTTCCCCCTCTTACTACCAAATAAGGAGCCCAGGAGGGAGGATGAATTAGGCATAGTCTGGTGTGGGCGAGATGGACACTCTCGTGTTGATGTAGCTCTCCGGCGCATGTGAGGACTGCTAATGATGGACCCCTAAAAAGGAAATTCATAGAAATCAAAATTAAAAGATCTTAAAGTACTTCGGTCAGAATGATTTTTTAAAAAAATATATAAAAGTTCACCCACTGACTGCTAAGCCTTAGTTAAACTCACTGGCCACAGAGGGCAGGGCTGGGTGAAGCTGGTTGAGGCCCCATCTGCTCTCATGCTAACTGGCAGGACAGCTGGGGGCGAGGGGGCTGGAGGGACCTTGAGAAGCAGCCTTCCAGTTACAAAAGTTAGGGGCAGGGGAGAGGGCACCCCCTCTTTCTGTTCATCAGTAGCAGACTTCTGTTCTTTCTCCGACAAGTGTTTTGTAACTAGAAGCCTGCCTGGGGTTTCAGATCCGAGTACTATTTGGGGGTGTCTGTGAGCTGCTTGTGGTGAGTGAAGTGGGGAAGGGCTGGGGTGCATGGAAAAGGAACCCAGAGCCTGCTGAAACTGCACCCTGACCTCTCCTGGGTCCTCTTAACTGGCCCAGAGGCACCTGTGCAGCCTGTCTGGGTTCCAAGGCTTCTGGGAAGGTGGTGATGGGGACAGGTGGGACCAGGGAACCTCGTCCTCTGGGTGGAGGGCACTGCCTAGGCATTCACTGTAACTATCTACTGCAAACCAAACAAGGAAAAAGAAGGAAATAGAAAAAGATCTGCAAGATGAGGTTAAGATGTGAACAGTAATACAGAGATGGTTTGAGGATGAATGAAATCTCATGAAATCCACACTGAATTTTTCTTTCTCTCCAGGCTTTCCTCCTCCCACGAGCTAGCTAAGCAATTCCATGGTGTCATGACTGCAGACACACAGAACTGAAACTCCAGAAAGGAAGCAATGGGGATGGCGGAGCATGGAGGTCGAGAGTTCAGCAAAAACACCCAACAGCGAGAGTGGTAGGTGAGTGGGATGCCACAGTGACCGAAGCCTGCCCACATGGGAGCAGTGCTGGCCTGGGTGGGGACCCGGGGGAGGGTGCCGGAAAGCCAGGATGGTTAACCATGCTCAGGGACCACAGGGGATGGGGTTAAGCGGAAACTAAAACACAACCACCAGAACCACCCCCACCATTCCATCCGAAACCAGCTGGTGAGAGGCACGGGTATTTCTAGGCACAGAGGAAAAGCCAGCATGCACAGGGCTGAGGCAGGCAGCGGCGGGGAGGGCGTGTGTCTGCGTATGCATCTGTGTGTGGTAGGGGGAAGGAGGAGCAAAAAACAAACAAAAAAAAAGCACAACAGATATAAACCAAGGGTTGGGGAGGCAACACGACACCAAGCTGGACATAGGTGCTTCCTACTTACTTCCACATTGCTCTCTAGCGATCCCGCACTGCTGCGACGCCCTCGCTTCCCTGCCCAGAACATGCAATACCAGAGGTTAGACACGGACACGAGACTGGGGAGCCGCTGCCTCCCTGGCACTGAGCTGCTGCTGCTGCTGCCACACAGCCTGGCACTGCTACTGGGGAGCCACGGTGGGGACTCAACTAGGCTGCAGGCTCAGGTACCGGGGCCTACCTGCCTGCAGGTGCCAGGAATGGGTAGGTTGGAGGAGGAGGCTCAGTTGAGGGGAAGCTGACAGCAGTGCAGTAACGAGTTTCAAAAAAAGACAACAGATCTTTTAAAAAGCAAAACAAAACAAAACAAAACAAAACAAAACAAAACAAAAAACAAAAAACCAAAACAAAATTTTAAACCAGCCCCAGCTTTAAACCCCCTCTCCTGGACATAGAGGTCTGTGGGAGGGGGTTTTCTGGTGGGCTGAGGCTTGTGAACAGCTGGGGCCCGACACCAAACACGAAAGTCTGTTCACCTTCTACTGCTGGTGCCAGGCTCGCCTCAGTTGCTGCTGCTGATAGGGATGGGTGGGGTGAGGCAGCTTCTCCAACAATTAAAAAGAAACAAAAAATGATCCTGCAACAACCCTTTTAGTGGATTTCACGTGTACACACACACACACACACACACACACACACACACACACATATAGATATATAGTCTTTTTTTTTTCTTTTTTGGCAGGGTGGGGTTTTAATGGTTAAGACAAAACTAAACTTTGTGTTCTCTTTCTCTCTTAGACCGCTCAGACGAGCAGGTGCCTCTGCTGGAGTGTTTGGTTTGTGCAGTGTCAGGGCTGATGGAGAATGTCCTCCCAGGCCAGGGCCCTGAAGCCCTGCTTCTCTTCTGTTGGCACCACTCCCCAGGATGCTGCAAAGCCCTTCCTACACCATGAGTCACACTGCTGACGTCTTCCTCAGTCCCCAGCATGTGGTACACAGCAGCACTCAGTATGTGTGGCTGTACCCAAGCATGGTCAGGTCTTCCTCTTGCTCTGGGTGCCCAGGGGCCATCTGTGGCCTCCACATCTCTTTGGAGGACTTCTCCATGGATTTCTGCAGGACATCGAGTCTGGCACACTATGGGTATCCAGCCTTAGGGGTATGGTCTCTATACAGCTCTCTGGGAGTAAGGAAGGGAAGAGAGGGTAGAGACAGGCCTTCCCAAGCTGACTTTCTGGAAGGTTCCATCTATGCAACATTAGCCATGAGTCATGTACTAGACACATTAATCTTCTCATTTAAGGCCCACAGTGATGCTGTAGACAGTATCACTATGTCTGTGTTAAAGAGAAGACTGAGGCTATGAAAGGTGACCTAACTAGCCCATTCCCAAAGTGAGCAAGCCTAACAGCCAGGGCTGAACCCAGGGCTGCCTGCCCGCCTCTCAGGCAGGAAAACTGGGCCACACTGCCTTCCAAGATGAACCCAAGCTCGGGCCAGCCCAGGGTCCTGGAAGAAGGAAGACACTGCTATGGGCCTCTTGGTTGTCCACATCCCCCAGCTTCTAGGGTGAAAGCTGCTGCTCGCCAGAGCTAGATCAGGGCCACCAGCCAAGCGCTGGGTGGAAAGAGTATGTCTCTTGGTCCTTCGGGCCTCACCATGGTGCCTTCCTCCTCCCGCTTCTGCCCATTGAGGCCAAGATGTAGGAGAACTTTAACTTGGATGTCTTGGAGCGATTGAGCTTCTTAAAATTCATCTTTTCCACTTCTCAGATCAGCATGGGATGTGGGGCAATCCTATAGGAGCTCTCTCTGCACTCAAGTCCCTGAGTTCCATGTACTCACAGGCACACTCACAAACATGCCTGCCTACTACAACCTGGGTCCATGTGTGTGCACATATATGCAGACACACGCACGCACACAACACTGTCTACTGCACCTGCTCAAACACATGCTCTGATGAGGTGAGGCAGCCATATGGAGGCCTACCCCACCATGTGCACACACCAGGGTCCTCGCCTGGCACCCAACACCATTCTCTTCTTAGGCATCCTCCCCATCACTGTGTCCTGCACTAGCCTCTGGTGAGCTCCACCTTAATCAGCACCCTCCTAGAGCCAGACCAGGCCCCGTGAGCTGCGGGCAGCAGCAGCATCAGGAACCATTCGTCTGGAAGGAGCTCCCAGCACAGTTGCTTTGTCAGGCTGCCACTCACAGCCTTCCCTTTCTTCCTCAGAGCCAGGACAGGACGTGGCAGGCTCTCTGCTGAGGGCTCTCCCTCTGTGGCCCTCAGGAGTGCTGGGGCCGTGGAGGTGCATGTGCTCAATAACCACCAGAGTGACAATCACACACACTGAGCTCACCTTGTGCCAGGCACTGCTCTAAGTGTGCCACGTGCATCGACTATTTCTCACAGCAATCCTGTGAGTGGAGAACTGTGATTGTCCCCACTTTACAGATGAGGAAACTGAGGTCCAGAGCTGTAGCTTGGCCAGGGTCTGGCAGCTAATGAGTGCAGCGCTGGGAGATGAAATTGTCCAGGCTGACTCCAGAATCAGAGTGCTGAACCACGCCTCGACTCGGACTCTGTTTGGTGGGGAGTAATGTGGCCAGGGCGAGAGGAGGTACATTTACAGTTCTCTTCCAAGACATGCTATTCACGGCCATCCTGAGCACAGCCTCTCCTTCTGCCCAGCTCTGCCTCCAGACAGACGACCACGGGGCCATTTCACTTGCAGAGCACCCATTGTGTGGCAGCAGGCACTGCTTTATCGACCTGCCACCAGCGCCTGTCACTGCCTGGCAGCCTCCAAGAGCCACCAACTCTACCAGATGGGGCAGCCTGGCTGCAGAACACAGCAGTCTTCAGTTCCGTGCTGCCAGAGGCACCCAGTGCAGTGGTCACTTGGTGCACGCAGTGCCCGTGGCCCCAGAAGACAATCTCTCTGTGGGAACTAGGTGATAGCCAGCTCAGCTGGGGAAGTGCAGAGGGCCTGCTGGGGGCCTCTAGCTGATGTGCACCTTGACTTGACTGATCTGGAGGGCAGGAGCCAAGGTCTGTCCATAGCTGTTTCTGTAGTCCTTGCTGGGTCCTTGATCTTGGAGGCAAAAGTGTGGGTTGGCAGGAGACTGGTGCCACCAATAGGATGGGCAGCCCAGGCTGAAGGAAACCATGGCCTAGAGACATCAGGAAGGTGTTCTGGCTCACACGTGTGGAGCTGGGACCAGAGTCTGGGTCCTTTCCTCTACCTCTTGGAATGTCAGTGGCTTCCCAGAGACGTTTGCTGATGGGCTTACTCCTGGGCTCAAACCATGACAGCTGTATCAGTTCCCAAGGTTCATGCCGGGCTGAGGAGATATCCGTGGTAGGTCATCTCCTGGAGGGACATATGGGTCCCAGGTCTGGGGGCAGTGCTCCAACAGCCCCCTGCTCTGAGGGGAGAGGCTGCCCCTGGCCTTTCCTCTTCCTGATAAGCTGATCGTGGTGTCAGGTTCTCATGCTGAGTCCTGTGAGAGCCATGGTGGGGTGAGGCAGGAGTGACCACAGCCTCAGGAGAGCTAATGGCCCCTAACCTCATCCAGAGTACGGAATTCCGCATCTCCAGCTGCAAACCCAACATCTTTCTGGAAAGCCTCCTGACCTTCACCCATCTCCCTCTGGAGAGATCAGAGGCAGCCTCTCCCAAGTCCAGGGCCTGGACAGCTGCCTGGACCCAAACACCCACCACACCTCACCCTCCAAGCTTCCTGGCTGCAGAGGCTCTCTGGGATCTATTCATTGCAGCTTAGGGATCAGAGAGGATTCAACCTCAAACCCAGAATCCTCAAATAATAACAATAAACAGAAAGTAGTCAGCCCTTGGAACTCCATCCCTCCGATGGACGGGCCTGGCTATGCAGGCTCTGCGGATCCCTAAGCTCTGGCAGAGGGGGGACAGCAGAGGTCCTGGGAGGAGGCAGCTCCAGATACGATTGGCTGGGACCTGGAGTGGGTGTGGCTCGCTCTGAAGGCCTCAGTTCCCGCGTGGCCCCTGCCTCTTGAAAGGGACTGAACAGGGCTCCCAGGCACTCCAGGGACTCTCGGGGAACAGTGAGGACAAGACTACCACACTGCACAAACTCAAACTGAGGCCATGGGCCTGCAGCCTGCAGAGGCTCCAAGCAGTCCAGTTAAGCTTAGCAGGTTTAACAAGGCACTGATCAGACCGGTAGTTCTCAATTAGGGGCCATCTTGCCCCCAGAGGACACCGGACAATGTCAGGAAGTATTACTGATTGTCACGACAAGGGTATGCTACTGCATCCAGTGGGTAGACGCCAGGGATGCTGCTAGACATCCTGCAATGAATGCACAGGACAGCCCCACAACAGAGAAATGATCTGGCTCTCAATGTCAGCAGCGCTGAGGCTGAGAAATCCTGGGTTAAACCCTCATGCTGGCAATGGATTTCTGATTTTCACTATGGGGAAAAAAATGACAAAACAAAAGCAAAGCAAAAAAATTCAACTCAAGAAAGAAAAAAGATTCTGGGAAATGAATAAGCAGAAGTGAGGCAGTGCTGTGTGTGGGTGGGGGCAGGTAAGCGATTTTAGCAGGAGCAGGCTGTCTTAGGGTGGGCCAAGAGGTGGGGCTGGGGTGGGGTGGGCAGGCCTCCTGGAGGCGAGGGGTCACTGGGTTCCTGTGATGGAGGAGGCTAGTCTCTGGCCTGAGAAGGCTTCACCAACAAACAAGGGCTTACGTCAGGCTCCTGGGCTGGGGCATTGGGGCAGGTGGAGCCTACACTGCTGAGCAGCAATGTGCCCTCCAAAGCTCGCCGCGCCATTGCAGCCCCCTGGACCCTCCTCCAGGAGAAGCTGACCAGCTGGCTGCGACTAGTGGGGCTGAGGAACTGCTGGTCCACACCCCTCACCCACGGCCACTAGGACAGCGCCTGCGGGAGAGAAATCTGGAGCAGAACCACCTGGGCGTTCTTGCACCGCCTCCCTGCACCTGCCCTAACAGAGAGGAAGAGGCGGGCAAAGGCAGCTGGCAGAAGCTCCCTGCTCCCTGGTGCTCAAGGTACCCCCCAAACCTGGGAAACCTGCTTCCTTTGGGGTTAAGTAAGTGGCTGGCAGCAAATTAAACACACAGAAACAAAGGAACAACAACAAAACCACATTTCCACCAGAGTTTCCCCTTACATTCTAGACTGGCCGTGGAGGCAGTTACCTGTGGACTGGATGGGGGCAACAGTTCCCAGGGAAGGCCACCCCACGGGGAGAGCAAGACCAGTGGGAAAGGGGAGTCTTCAGACACAGTTTAGAGGGGCTTCACTCAATTTCATTCATCAGCATAAAACACAGGGACACAGCAGCACAAACTACATGGGACACATCCGCCGGGGGGGGGGGGCCTGCTCTCTCCGTGTTAGAAGCAATTTCAGAAAATAATTAATAAATAAACAAACAAACAAAAACCCCGGAAGAAGAGAAGGAAAACGGGGGGAGCTCCCCAGGTTGTTTTGGCTAGACTGCCTTTCTGTTTAACAACAATTAGGCCCTGCTTTCCTCTGCCAATCTGGGATGCCCCTTCTGCATTGTCAGGTGCTGCTGTGGCTCTTGGGGGGCCACAGGAAACCCTACAGTACTCCGTCTGAGGCCTGCCACTGATGGCTCCACCGCAGGCCCTTCCCAGCGCACAATGCATGCCCTGACTGTGGACCAGCCTGAGTCCTGCATGCATTGGGCTAGGAAGGTGGTTCTAGGCCTAGCTCTTACCCGCTTCTGAGAGGTCCCTTAGGGAGCTGCTGAGGGCACTGCGCTTGAGGCCCTCGCTGCTGGCATAGCTGTCATCCAGGCAGGCCCGGCTCAGTGTCCCGTTGCCTGACTCCTTTTTGAGGCTGGAGCACTGGGATATGCTGGGCCGCACGACGCCCTTCTGCTTCTCGAGCTCCGCTGAAAGAGAGAGAGTGGGGCCCCGTGAGGGGCGGGTATGGCCAAGAGGGCAGCCTGGGGGGTCAGGTAGGAGGGAAATGCTGAGGACCCCAGCCCCTCTGCTCAGGGTTGGCACTGTCTGAACTGTCATCCACCTGGAATGGGGAAAAAGTAAGAGGGAGGGTTGTTCCTGGGAAAAAGGGTGTGTGGCTGCCTTGGGCACAAGGCAGGGGAAAGTATATCCCACGAAGGGATGCTGGAGGGGTCAGACTGCCTTCTAGTGTGCAGGAAAGGCAGTCACTTTCCAATTGTGAGGGTTGAAGTCGACAAGTGGACAAAGATCTCCCTATCTTGGAGATGGGAGATGGACAAGGGCTAACCAGGCTGTGCTGCTGAGGGAGGGGCCGGAGGTGGGACAGTCATGTGCCTCCAGGGAGATGGGGAGCCAGGAGAGGCAGGGATTATAATTGTCCTCCCAGCTCTTCATTCATGGGACCCAGGGGATGCATGACTGAGACCCCATCAGTGCCTGATGCAGGAAGACGAGTAAATAATAATCACACTAAACTTCAAAGAACTTAGCTCCAGAACTTAGGAAGCTCTTTTCACGCGGGGTGACCAGGGAGCTGGAGGCGTCCTCTGATGGGCAGGACTGAGTTAGGCCTCAGAAGCCCTGGCTCCCACCAGCCACCACCTGTCCAGGCCACCCCAAGGAGGCCTCTCCCCTCCCCTCCTCCCTCCATGCCCCCCTTTCTGTGGCTGGAGCCCGTGGGCTGCCCCGTCATGTGGTTGTTTGGAAAGCTAGAAAAGACCTGGGAGCATCTCTAGGGGGCTCAGGGAGCCAATGGCCACATTTGCCTCTGACTGCTGTCACGACCACCAGAGAGGGAGGCAAAACCCTATGTCTTCTGGCTCTTCATCCCTAAGAGGCCTGAGACTTACTCTCTATTCTGTGCTTCTCCATCTCCTGCACTTCTGCAATGGATTCCCGCAGGTCATCAGTGAATTTCTTCCGGTCTTGAGGATTGGGCGCGTTGAAGTTTATTAACACTTTGATGTCTGCACCAGGGACAGCAGACGTAAGCCGGATGCCATTGGGGTAGTCTGCAAAGGAGAAGGAAAGAAAAAATGCCCTGTGGGTCTAGAGTATTCTCCTTTCTGATCAAGAAAATAATGATAAATCTCAATTCAATATCTGCATAGGAGAAGTGCTCAGAGTCCAAGCTCTTTGCAGACTCGTCCAACCAGGGAGGAAAGGTTTCAACAGCAGTAGATTAGAGGGACCACGAAACAATCTCCATGTCCCCCACTTTGGTCCATTTTGTTTCATACACAAGTCAGGGGGCAGATATGGCCAATCCTGAGGGAAAACCCAGGGCCCTCATTCTTCTCCCCACTCCCCAAAGGTCATGGAGTCCCAGACCCTTGATTTCAAGGTCTTTGGTGACTCTGCCTGGTGCTTGTCATGGTGGCCTAGTGCTGAGTGCAGGAGGTAGACCGGGCAGAGGTAGGAGTCCTGTGCTGGGGGAAGAGCCTTATCCAGTGACCTCAGAGAATTCTGACACCAGACTGAGTTCCATTCTCTTTTAAAGGCCTTCAGACCCACAGTTCCCTTGGGATGTGCTGTGGACACCTCACACCCAACATATCCTATGCCAGACCTAGCATCTTGCTGCCAAGACCTGCCTGGTGCCAGCTCTGAGCCCTCAGGGTCTTCTGGGCTTTGATCTCCTGGCATCACCTCTCTCCTCAGTGGGCAATGCATGGCTGAGCAGGCCCTTCAGCAACTGGATGTTTGCAGGTTCCTGGCTCCAAAACCGATCCCACCTTTGCTCAAACCTAGGTCAAGTGGGCAATTCAAATGCCTGTAGGCCCAGGCAGGTATCCTAGACGAGGGAACCGGGCCAGGTGGAGCTAGAAGCACCTGGGGAATGCTGGGCCGGGGGTGGGGGCGGGGGGAGCGGAGCTCCACAGCCCATTATCACCATGTGAGTACGTGGGCCCAGTGATGCTGAACCTTTTGATTTTTCAAGAGAAGCCTCCTCCACAAAAAAAAAAAAAGAAAATCTAAATTTTGATGTGAAGCCTACTGATTTAAATGTTGGCTCAATAACTTTTTTATGCCCTGGTTGTCTAAAGATGGCCTGGTGCAGCCTCTGCCCTGGGGGTCAGTCTGTGCCTGGCCCCGTGCAGGAGCTTCACTGCTGCCACCTCACTGGTTCTTGGCCCAACCTGGGAGGCAGGGATCATCACCATCATTGCACAGTGGGGAACTGCTGATCAGGACAATGCAGGGATAGCACCAACCATCCCTTGTACCAGGCCCCTGGATGTCAGCGTGTGGAAAATCAAAGCAAGGTATGCCTTCTGGCCTGGGGTGGACAGGGCAGGGAGTGGGGAGATGGCCCAGATCAGGGCTCAGGATGCTCCTCAGGCACTCTGGGCCCATCGTGAGCAGAGGAGAGAAGAAGGGCATGTGTAGGTACGGATGCCCCCCGCTAGGCTGCCCCTTGGTCCTGCTTTGGACAGAGAAGGGGGTTGAGAGCCCAAATCCATGCCCTCAGGCCCTGTGTATTGGGATGGAAGGCCAGTCAAGCAGCAGCATGACAACTTGTCCTGAGAGGATGGGACACTGTGATGTCCTTTCAGGGCAGTCTTCCCCTCAGGCCACTCCAGAATGTGCAGGGCACAAGGGCCCTGTCCCAGGAGGGCTGGCTTGGCCTAAAGCTCAAGAACCTCTGACAGAGAAGGGACAAAGGAGAGAGGAAAAGAGAGGGAGGAGGGTAGCGAGAAGGAGCAAGGTCAAAAGAAAAGGTCGGTGGAAGAGCCATGGATATGAACCAGCTCCCCTCCGATTTCCCCAGGCCCCATGACCCACTCTCAGCTGAGGGGGTCCAAATAACACATAAAAATAAAGACTTACTGAGTGCTTACTATATGCCAGGTGCTATTCTAGGCGCTTTCCATGTATGGACTCAATCTTCAAGGCAACCCTATGCGGTAGGTACTACTATTACCCACTTTATAGTCAAAGGAAACTGAGGCTCAGAGGGGTTAAACTAGCAAGCCCCAGAGTGCTAAGTGGCAGAGAGGGATTTGAACCCAGGCTGTCTTGGTCTAGGGCTCAGCTCTTCACCTCGACAGCCACTCTGGCATCACCTCCACTTTTGGGGGCTACGTTTGCATATCACCCATACTATTTACTTAATGTTTTTCTATCAACATTGTATTTAAATAAATTTATTTCTACCGCAAATAAAAAAATCTAATCGCTTGGCAATAAGCAGAAGTAATGTTAAGAGTAAACACAAGCACTGTGCATTGTTATTAAATTCTTTCTAATCACTACTGTTTATTGAGACCCCTAGCCTGCCACTGCTCTCTGTTAGCAAAGAGGGAATAAAAGCAACAGAGAAGCAGCACCAGATTCTCCCTTGATGTCGTCAGGATGAACAAGAACTGGGAAGAGAAGAGCTTTCTCACCATGTGGGTAACACTGTGTGGTGCCAGTCTGCATGGCTCCCAGCCATCTCATGCTGGGGCTTCCAGGCCATGCTTTGTGACATGTACACTTCCAGACCAGGGTGTGTGGGGGAGGGAGAGGCTGGGCAGGCCCTGGGCAGACTTACACTGGTTCTCAAAAAGCAGGACCTGCATGCCGTACAGGGAGAAGGACTGTCGGAAGCTGTATGTCACTGAGTTCTTCTTCTTCTGGAAGATCTTGGTGACCTGTAGGCAGCCAGAGACAAGGCCTGAGCCACATCGTCTGCAGTGCCCTGGAGCAGCCCCCGGCCTGCCCTGATCACAGATGTGGGAGCTTGGGATTCTCAGTGGCCTCGATAGTGACCATGGTCTTCTGGGTAAGAACCCTCTCTGTAGTTCAGAGGTCAGCAGGCCCCTGAGGCAGGGAAGAGCTGGCACAGGGAGGAAGGCATGCCCGTTCACGCTGTGACTTGGACAGTGGTTTCTGTTCCTACAAGTCCCCAATGCCATCTTGGCTGGAAGCAAAGCCCCACAGCCCAGCAAAGAGGTGGCAGGCACACTGCTGTAGAAGGCCCCCTGAGATGGTTTCTCACAGTCATGCAAGGTGCACACACCTGGGATTTGTACCCTGGTGGGCAGGGTGGGCAGTTAGTGCTCAGTGGCAACAGGCTCAGGAAGGCGGATGGCATCACCTCCTTTGGTGGAAACAACCCCTGCATGTAAGTGGCATCTGGGCGATGCCCAGCCCATGATCCTGGTTCCTATGCTAGAGAACATAATAGCTCCACGTCTGCCAGGCCCTGTACCATGTTCCTCTGCTGCAAGCCAGTTTGCAGATATGGGGAGGAACTTTCCATCCTGGCAGCCACAGTGGGCTGGCCAGCATGGGCTGGGAGGGAAGGGAGGCTTATAGTTATTGAGTGACCAGTTCGTGCCAGGCACCATGCAGGGTTTATGTCCAGGACCTCATCTGACCACTGTAATTCCCTGAGAGCTTAATTTTACAGAGGAAGAAACTGAGGCTCAGAGATTTGAAGTGACTTTCTCAAGGTCAGGGACTCTTAATAAAGGATTTGAACCCATATGTCTGAATTTTAATCTCAGTAATCAAAGAGGACCACCTGGTTCTCAGATCCAATCAAGCAGTGGGGGCTGGGGCAGGGCCTTCTGCAGGAAAGCCAGTGGCCTGCAGGAAGGACAGAAACCTGAAGGACAGGCTGTAGTGGACATCTTTATCCCACCTGGCTAGCATCTGCCTCACTTTTCCCTGGCAAAAGCTCCACTTCCCTTTGGGAAGCCCTTCTCCCACCTTCAGTCCATTAGCTCCAGAGGGTGGGGCTGTGACCCAGGCTTAGCCAATAAGAAAGCACTGTACCTCCCTGGCCCCAGTGACTGGTTTAGGGAGGGCACAGGAAGGAGAAGGATTAGTTCTGAGACATTTGTTCAAATTCTTAGGAAGAGGCTCCCTCTTTGTGCTGGTTGCTGGGAGCTGCTGGGGTATCTGTCCCTTTGTGGACGGAGCCTGCCTGAGTAGGGAGCCTGTGGACAGAAGAGCGGGCACAGCTGAGAGATGGAGATGATAAGAAGGAGCCCTGCTGACATTGTGTGAGTCTCTGGGAGCAGCTGGGGCTGAAGCCAGAAATCCCCTCAGGTCTCTTCCATGAGTCGATGAAGTCCCGTTTTCATCTGCATCAGTGTGAGTTTGATTTCTGTCCCTCGTAACCAAAAGATTCTGGGCTAATACACCCTCCGATCTCCACCCCATGTATGCATCTCCCCAGTGCAGACACAAAGCCACAGCCTCCTGACAAAAACACTATCTGCCCACAACACCCTGGGGAAGAACCACGTACCACGAGGAGATCGTTAAACAGGAAGATTTCTCTCTGGTGCAGTCCGAGTTTCTGGGGTTTATTTGGGTCTGGAACCTCGAAGAGCCGGCAGTAGCAGACCAGCCTACGATGGGGCAGAGAGAGCACCTGTGCAAGGAGAGAAAGTCCTGCCATTAGCTGCCCAGCCCCCTCCTCTGGGGCCTGGGCACACCCTCCATGAGGCCACAGCAAAGGCGTCTAAGCCTTGCATGCCAGAAACCCAGGCTGGTGCCTCTCATTTGAAAACGCCTCTTCTAGCACAGCATGCAAAGAAGAACGTAGTTTTTGGATCATAGCAATTTTCTCCACTGCTAACCACAAAAAGGTCAGCAGTTCGAATCCACCAGCCGCTCCTTGGAAATCCCATGGGGCAGTTCTACTCTGTCCTATATGGTTGCTATGAGTTGGAATCAACTCGATGGCAATGGGTTTTTGTTTTTTTGTATACTCAGGAGCTACTATGTAAGATTCCCTCTCTGGGCTCTCCTAGAGGCCTGCAGTGCCACTGCTGCTGGTGACACCGCCTTTCGCTTCTTTCAGGCAGGTAACAGGCTTCTAATAGCCTCCCTCTCACCTGGAACTCCCAACCCAGAGAGGAATTCATGTTTTCTGAGCCCTTATAATGTGCCAGCCGCAAACATTAGCCTGTTTAGTGCCTGGAAAAAAAATCTTCTAGAGAGTCTACCCTAGATGAGGAAAGTAAGGCACAGAGAGGTGAAGCAACTTGCCCTCAGTCACAGAGCCAGGACTTGGTCCCAGGCACCATGATTTCTCCTTTGCCAAGCCTCCTCCTAAAAGACAACAACGGTTCTGACATCTGAAAGACCCATCCACATCCTAAGCCAGGCCTGTGATGCTTTGTAGGACCTAGCTGCTCTAACCCTACAACCACCCAATTTCCATGATGCCTGTCCTTGCTTTGTCCTCTGTTCTATATACCTGACCACAAACACACCCACTATGGGTTCAGGGCAACCATCCACCTTTCACTTCGCCATGACCAAAGCTGCCCTCAGGCCCAACTCAATCAGCTGGTGTCTCAGTGGCCCAGGCCTGGCTGCTGGGAGCTCCGGTCTCATAAACAGACTGGCTACAATGGGAGAAATGCATGGCAGCCGTGGAGGGAGGGAGGCAGGGCTAACTCTACCCAAGACTGGTGGGGTTGCCCCGGACTAAGCACATCAGGGAGATGAGTCAGGGGTGGGAGAACTGTGGCAAACAGTTTGGCATGTGCAGGGAGCATCACTGTTTGGTATTGTGGGAGCAAAAGGATGAAGGAGAGAGGATGATGGGACAGGGGGCTGCAGAGGTGGCCAAGGGCCAAGGCATGGGGGCTTTAAGGATCTTGGGAAGCTGGTAAAGGGGAGGATGAAAGCTGACTTTTGGTGGGGGGTGGGGGCTGTCAGTGAGGGATAATGACAGACAACAGGTGCTGCGCTGGGGATTGCCAGACTGCAGGAGCATGTGCTCCAGGGCAAGCAGGAAGATGCTGCAGGGGCAGTGGCGATGCAACAGGTCTTGGGGGGATGAGACGGAGAGGCTGAGAGAGTGGCGGAAGTGCAACCATCCACCAGCGAATGGGGAAGGAGTCTAAGCTGAGGTTGAAGAGGACCTCAAGGGCCACACTGAGACCGTCTGCCTCAGTGCAGGGTCTCGGGGCCCAGGCACAGGGAAGGACTTTTATCAGGTCCCGGGAAGCTTTCTGCCAGAACGCACGGCTCTGCCCACGCCGTTGCTGGGCCTGCAGGGACTTGAGGCTAGAGTAATTATGAAAATCAAATTTCTTATCGCTTTGGAAATTAACTCAAGCAGCCAGAACTTTGGAGACGGGAGCCCGTGGTCCCCTCAGGGCAGTACATCAGCCATAAGCGCAGAAAAATACTCACGCAGCCAAGCCCGTGGTGCAGGGATCCAATCTATGTGGGAAAATGGGAGATTAATAAAAGGAGATATTAGCATTCCAGAGGATACACTTGGGCCCTGAGGAGCTAAGGGGTGATGATGTTCAGTTAAAAAGCAGCAGTCCCCATCCCCGCGCCACCTTCCCATTGGCTCCATCCAGCCACGCCACAGGGTGCGTGACCAAGTGGGAGGCTGGCTGGCAGAGCTCTGAAGGGACTCCTGAGGTCACCAAGCAAGCCTGTCAGCATAGGTGGGGCAGAGAGCAGAAATGCCATATAGCCTGGCCACCACCTGTCCTAAGATCCTCCAATTCTTTTTAGATACAACCCGGAGTAAATGTCAATTACTCCCCAATATTAGGAGCCACTGAAGGAAAAACAAAAAACCCCGAAATAATGCACAAACCCTGACTGGGAGAGGCAAGGCTCCTGAGGTCAGGTGGGGAATTTAGAGTGGCGTCAGGGTTGCTGCAGCCAGGGTCATACCGGGTTGCAGGGGGCAGGCATGTGCCTCCCCACAGAGGCCCCTCTGGTGATGCCAGGACCCAGCACGTACCGGCTTCTTCCCCACAATGAGCTTCTCCACCTTCTGCACCTGAGACACATGGTCCTCGTTGGTCTTCAGCTCCCGCTTGCGGATCCGCTCGTAGATCCCAATGAGCATCTCCCGGGGAATGTCCTCACCATCATCCACACCTAGGAGGGGACCGCGGCCAGGGGTCAGGTTGGGGCCTGCTCAGCCTCGCTCCACCCTCACCCTCTGACTTACAAATTTCTAAACCATATCAGAACAAGGATCCCTTTCACCATCCCCAGCAGAACCAAAGACCTTCCAGACACACAAGTACCACATTACAGTCAGTCAGTTACAAACCTCCTCAGAATCCCTCCACCAGAAGCAAGGCCGGCACATCCAGCCTCCACCCGGACCAGCGTGGGAGGCTGTGCCCCTTCTAAGCCGTGTTCAGAGAGCTTTGTAAATCTTGCCTTGTTCGATCCTGACCACAGCCCTGTGAGGTGGGCATGATTGTCTGCCTTCCGCAGACGGGAAAACTAAGGCTCGGGGGAGGTGTGGGGTGAGGGAGGCCGTGAAGCAACAGGGCCTGCGAATTCAGGCTCTGACAGACTTAGAACCAAATCCTCGTTTTGTCCCTCACTAGCTGCGTGACCATGGGCAGGTTACTGAGCCTCTCAGCTTGGTGTCCTTGTCTGTAAAACGGTCACCAAGAGCACCGAGGACCTGACAGGGCTGTTGTGAGGAAACAGGAGAAGCACGCAGTGTGCTTAGCACAGCGCCTGGCAACAAGTGACAGTGCAAGAAACATGAGCTGGTGCTATCAACACTGTAGTAGCTGCTGCTGTTGGCCCACATCACACAGGCAGAAACAGGGGCTGGGACTGGAACCCAGTTGGCTCTAACTCCAAGCTCGTACTCTTTCTTATATACCACAGCGAACAGCTGCTGTGAGAACAGCAATTCGACCCTACTCATGAGAGAAACGCAAACTCTCATCCTGGTGAGATCTGCTGCTCCCCTGTCTGACTGGCAGGAGGCCACAGGTCTGGTGACAGGCTCTGTTGGCAAGGCTGTGGAGAAATGGGCCCTCCCACATACCACTGCAGGGCACGGAAAGTGTCAACCCCTCTGTGGGCAATTTGGCAATGCCTGTCAAAATTATAAACTCAAACACCCTCTGATCCAATGATTGCCTTTGGGGAATTTATCCCATGGGAAATGATACATGTCCCAGGTTAGTTATTGAAGCACAGTTTCCAAATAGCAAAAGACTAGAAGCAACCTGTTTACCCATTAACATGGGACTGGTTAGAAGTCATCATACATCAGTACAACGGCACACTATGGATCTGACAAAAAGAATGAGGGAGGCCACAGTGAACTGATGCAGAAAATTTCTGTTAGATTTGTTAAATGAAAAGGGCAAGGTGTAAAATGTTTTGTTATATATATTCTGCCACAATAAAACCCTCCACATGTCTGTCAGTTTGTCACACCGTAGGGGCCTGCATGTTGTTGTGATGCTGGACACTATGCCACCAGTATTTTAAACACCAGCAGGGTCACTCATTGTGGACAGGTTTAAGCTGAGCCTCCAGACTAAGACAGACTAGGAAGAAGGACCTGGTAGTCTACTTCTGAAAGAATTAGCCAGTGAAACCTTATGAATAGCAGCGGAACACTGTCTGATATAGTGCCGGAAGATGAGCCCCTCAGGTCGCAGGGCACTTAAAATATGACTGGGGAAGAGCTGCCTCCTCCAAGTAGAGTTGACCTTAATGACGAGGATGGAGTCAGGCTTTCAGGACCTTCATTTGCTGATGTGGCACAACTCAAAATGAGAAGGAACAGCTGTAAACATCCATTAATAATCAGAACATAGAATGTACAAAATATCAATCTAGGAAAATTGGAAATCATCAAAAATGAAAGGGAAAGCACAAACATCAATATCCTAGGCATTAGTGAGCTGAAACGGACTGGTACTGGCCATTTTGAATCAGACAATCACATGGTCTACTATGCCGGGAATGACAAATTGAAGGGGCATGGCATCACATTCATTGTCAAAAAGAACATTTCAAGATCTATCCTGAAGTACAATGTTGTCAGTGATAGGATAATATCCATATGTGTACAAGGAAGACCAGTTAATACAACTATTATTCTAATTTATACACCAATCACTAATGCCAAAGATAAAGAAACTGAAGATTTTTACCAACTTCTGCAGTCTGAAATTGATTGAACATGCAATCAGGATGCATTGATAATTACTGGTGATTGGAATGCAAAAGTTAGAAACAAAGAAGAAGGCTTGGTAGTTGGAAAATATGGCCTTGGTGATAGAGAACGATGCTGGAGATTGCATGATAGAATTTTGCAAGACCAATGACTTCTTCACTGCAAATACCTTTTTTTCTTTTTTAATATTTTATTGTACTTCAGGTGAAGGCTTACAGAACAAATAGTTTCTCATGAAACAGTAGTACACGTTGTTTTATGACATTGGTTAACAACCCCACAAC